CCGCCACTGCCACCACCGCCACAGCTGGCACAACCTCTGCCGCCGCCGCTGCTACGGTGTCTCCTCGGAGTGTGTGAGCTTGGAGGCTTCGTGGGTGGATTTACAGCTGCCGCCCTCCGCGTCGCTACGGAGGTTGAACCATAGGAAAAAAAACCCAGGTAAATGCTACAGCGGCTTCCTGTAGTCCCCTTCCACTGGAGAGCCGGTTTTGTGCTGTAAGCTTGTACTACAAGTGTGGTGAGAAGGTCGCGTTAATCTGGGGCAATCTCCAAACTCTTACTTCACAACTCAGATATTTACCACAGTTCTATTTTACCTTCCCTCTTGTAGTGGGGGAGAGATTAGGTCCTGACGCAGGTTGCTTTCTTGTAAGGTCCCAGGGAAAGTATCGAGGTCAGTCCTGGCCTATGTTAATTGAGGGAACGAAAAGGTCTGTGCACTGTGTTAGGAGTCACGTGGACTGGGGTCTTTGCTTAGTGACATCTCTTTAGACTTGGGAAACCAGTGTTGCTAGATCACCATTTCTGATAAAATAATTTTTGAAAAGGTATTTGGCTTGTGTCGCTGTGAGCATAAGCTAAATTGAGAGAGCCTTCCTGTTTCCACTTCGATTTGTTCACTGTGCACACTTTTGAGTTACTCTTCATCTTTGTCCCACCCTGTGGCCTCTCTTGTGCTCAGGATTGGATTCAGGACCTCAATCATGTTAGGGCAGACACTGAGGTTATCTTAAGCACCAACACTTTTTTTTTTAACGTTTTACAGACAGTATTTTTCCAGGATCTAAACTTTATTTTCATAATCTCCTTCACCTACAGTAATATGGCTTTGTATCGAGATAATGTGTTACAATATTGAATTAGGTGATACTGAAGTATAGGAAGTATGGCGTGGTACACACAAGCCTTACACAGAGTTCTGGGCTTCAAAAGGGCAATTAAATTAGTCAGAATCAGCTATGAAGGACAATGAGTCTAGCAGCTCCACTAATTGAATTACCAGGTTGTTTAGTTCATCCTTTATTTTTTTATTAAGTTTATTGGTACATTTTAGGTAGATGTAATGATCCCATTTGTTATAGGGAATTTGTACCTGACATAACTTGACAATTTTACCCTTTTTCATTCCCCTAAGCTCCTTTCAGCCTATTTCATCCTTTCTTTAAGGTTTTTTTTTTTTGGTTTGTTTTTAAGACAGTCTTGCTGTGTAGCTCAGGTTGGCCTCAAATTCTTGGGGTCCTCCTTTCTCAGTCTCCTTGAATGCTAGGTTTACAGGTGTGCCCTACCATGCCTGGCTTTGAAAAGTTATTTATTTATTTGAGACACAGTCTCACACTTTGTAGGCTGGCCTGAAATTCAACAATCCCTCCTGCCTCAGCTTCCCAAGTGCCAGGATTACAGATCCATCCCACCACATCTGATTTAAAGGTTATTTTGAATGGAGATTTCATTTTTTAATTTTTATTTTATGTATTTGTTACTTTATTTATTTTTTGAGAAACCAGGGATTAAACTCAGGCCCTTGTCCTTGCCAGGCAAGTGCTTATTCTACTGAGCTATCTCCCCAGCCCCTGTTATTTTATTTTATTTTTTTTTAATTTTATTTATTTGTGTGTGTGTGTGTGTGTGGCCAGCTCAGCCCACCAGGGGGCGGGGCTGGCTGGCATGTGGTGCTGGGGGATTGAACCGTGGTCCCTGTGCTTCGCTAAGCTTGTTCTAAGTAGGTGCTTTAGACCACTGAACCATCTCACCATCCCCCCTGTTATTTTTTGATACAGGGTCTCACTATGTATTTCAAGCTAAGTAATGACTTGAAACAGTTCCTTGTTTTGAAAAACTTGTATGTACTACAGGGTCTTGCTACACAGATCAGACTTGTAGTGATCCTCCTGTTTACAGCCTCCCAAGTGCTGGGATCACAGGCATGTGCCATTGCGTCCAGTCTCAATCACTGGCTGGCACGGCAGGCCTGGGGATCCAACTCCCAGCCCCTGTGTCTGCCTAAGCAGGTGCTTTAATCCGCTGAGCTATTTGGCCAGTCCTTCCTTTTTCTTTTTTGTTTGCGGAACTGGGGATTGAACTCAGGCCCTTGCGCTTGCCAGGCAAGCACTTATTCTATTGAGTCATCTCCCGGCCCCTTCCTTTTTCTTTTTCTTTTTTTCCTTTTTTTTTTTTGACTCTGATAATGTATTAGGAAAGACAGATATGATCGCTTAGTCATTGTTTATCCCAGTAAGTATTAGAAATAGGAAGTGTTATGAGAACACAAGGAAGGGAGCATTTGAGCTGAGTCTTGAAAAATGGTTGGAATTTAGCTTTGTAGCAATGAGGGAAGACAAGGACAGTCCAGGTAGAAATAATGTGAACAGAGGAGAGCTGGAGAGATGGATGGAGGACATCCAATAATATGTCAACATCTTCCAAGATGTTACTGACTAAAAGAAAAAAATTACAATACAGGACTGGGTAGCTAACTCACTGGTAGAGCACTTGTTTAGCATGAGTGTGGTTCTGGATTTGCTTTCCAGGACTACAAAAAAAATTATAGAACTGCTTATCTTACAGCCAATGATTTCAGCCATTAAATAGCCTATATACTGTATAGAAGAAATAATGGAAATGACAAATACAGTTTTTTTGGGTTTTTTTTTGGCGGAACCGGGGATTGAACTCAGGCCCTTGTGCTTGCCAGGGAAACGCTTATTCTACTGAGCCATCTCCCTGGCCCCTACTTTTTTTTTTGACAAACACAGTGTTAATAATGAGGTTTAATTCTGGTGTAAACCACAGTCTAAAAGATGCAGAAAAGACAGTGGTGTCTAGGGGCTAAGAGGCTGAGGCAGGAGAATGTATTGTGTCCAACAGTCTGAGGCCAGCCTGCCTAACGTGGCAAGCCGTTGGAGATGGGGAGAGAGAGAGAGAGAGAGAGAGAGAGAGAGAGAGAGAGAGACAGACAGACAGACAGACAGAGACAGACAGACAGAGGCAGAGACAGACAGAGTGCGAGCGAGTCCACAGATTTTCTGTCCTTATTTCTTTTTGCTATGCTTGGTCTCACATAATTCTGATTTGACTGTTGTACTTTTTATTTGAAATCATTTGACTGGGAGTGCTGGAGATTGAGTGTAAGGCCTGGCAAGCACTTTACCACTGAGCTACCATCTCTAGCCTTATTTATTTATTTATTTATTTATTTATTGTCTCACTTTGTAGTGTAGGCTGGCCTTGAACTAACTGTATAGCCCATGCTGTTATTTACATAGAATGAGCCTTATTTTGACCAATCAATGATTTCTTCCATTTCAATATTAAATAAAATCCGAAAGGTACAGTAAATAGTGTGAAAGGGAAAAAATTGTTATTATCTGTCTTAGCTCATGTTATGACATATAGTGTTTACATTAATTGGGGTTATCAGGTTCTTTTTTTTTAAAATATTTATTTATTTATTTTGTGTGTGTGTGGCCAGCTCAGCCCACCAGGGGGCGGGGCGGGCTGGCTGGCATGTGGTGCTGGGGATCGAAATGCGGTCCCTGTGCTTTGTTTAGCTTAGCTTGTTCTAAGTAGGTGCTTTAGACCACTGCGCCATCTCACCAGCCCCCTCAGGTTCTTGACATATCTTTACTCTTCCTTCCCCTCCTCCTCACCCCTTACCCTTGTTCCCTTGGACTAGTTTCTTACTGCAGGAGATCTGGCTCTGTGTCCCTTTCTATCCATCTTTTATAATTTTCTTTGTATTTTGCCTCACTCAAATGAGGAATACCATATGGTATTTAAGCTTATTTTTTTTTTCTTATTCTTGTGTCTTTTTAAAAAATTTATTACCCTTTAAAAAAAACACCTCGGGGCCGGAGAGATGGCTCAGTGGAATAAGCGCTTCCCTGGCAAGCGCAAGGGCCTGAGTTCAATCCCCGGTCCCGCAAAAAAAAAAAAAAAAAAAAAGAACACCTTTACTTGAGAGACATTATGGTAATAAATGGTATGTCATGACAAGAAGTACATATTTAGAAGACCAGGATGGCAAGCACTCCAAGCGTGACCCCTCTATTACACATCACCATCCTCAGTGCAGCCGCCTGGCTCATGGGCACCAGCATATACAGTTAGGGTGAGAATCTCACCAGCCAACTGCTAGTCTCAAAAACCTGCTGATATACCCCAGGATCACTGCCTCACCCATCTCATGCGTTTCCCCCTGTCATGTTTCCCAGCTTTTTTCCTTGCCATTCCTCATTGTCCAATCAAGTTCTCGTTTTCCTTTTATATGTGTTGTTACTTTCTATATATAATTCCTCTTTTAAGTTCTTATACTAGGAAGACAATACGATATTTACAGATGTGGGTCTGGTTTATTTCACTTATAAGAATATCTTCAAGTGGCATATTTAAGCTTATGTATCGTTTTCACTCATTATATTTTCAGGTACATCCATATTCCTACCAATGTGTTATTTTT